TACGCGCACAAATTAGGGGATAGAGCCTACCCATGACGTAGCAGGCTTTACGACAGACACGACGGACATGTTCTCGGAAGGTTAACTGTTTATCAAGAGTGACGCCTAGATATTTAGTGGATTTTTGCCACGGAATGTCTTCGCCGTAGAGCTTGACATTGGCGGGGCGTCTGGACGGATTAGTGCGAGAGCTGAGGGCACTACGAGTAAGGTAAATTGCCGCACTCTTATCGGGGTTAACCTCGACTCTCCATTTCCGGAACCATTCGCCTGGGGCGTCGGTCGCGGTCTGGAGAGTGGAGACAATCCGCTGCGTTCTGCAGTCGGTGGTGTAGACGGCCGTATCATCGGCGAAAAGCGCGATATGGGCTTTGGCGGTCTTAGGAATATCGCTTGTAAAGAGCGAAAATAGAATCGGCGAGAGGACTGATCCTTGCGGAAGGCCTGAGCGAAGGGGTTTCGGAGTGGAGAGGGCACCCTCTACGCGGAAGCGGAAGGAACGATTCGACAAGAATGAGTGGATAATTCGCACCATTCTGTCGGGCACACCGATCAGGTATAGCTTGTATAACAGACCGTTGTGCCAGACTTTATCGAACGCCTTCGCTACATCGAAAACGAGCGCTCCTGTCGCGAGACCGCGAGTCGTACGGCCGAAGCCGTGAAGGATGTGCTCCGTGAGGCGGTGCACTTGATGGGTACATGAGTGGGCATGGCGGAAGCCGAACTGTTCGTCCGGAAGAAGGGCCTGGGAGTTTGAAATATACCGTAAGCGTGAGTTGAGAAGTCGCTCGTATATTTTAGCGAGCGAGTTAAGAAGACTAATGGGTCGGTAACTATTAGGGAGATTGCGGGGTTTACCCGGCTTGTGAATACCTATGACTACAGCCTCTTTCCACTGATCTGAAAAGATGCAGTTAGTCATGAGACAATTGAAGATCGTCACCAGAAGGGCGATAATTTGATCGGGCAGAAGTTTGATTGCCCTATTTGATATTTTATCGGGACCGGGGGACTTCTTATTATGAAGACGCCTGATAGTAGAGTTAACCTCGTCGAACGTGATCGAGGGGAGCGGGTCGCCGGCGGGCGGTGAGTTTAATCGTAACGACACCTCGTCGTCGACCGTTTGAATAAACGCGGCGTCTACGCGGTTCGTATTTGGCGAGCACTGAGTCTCGAGACTCTCGGCTAGACACTCGGCCTTATCCGCGTCGTCGAAGGCAGGTGGCTGGTTTGCGCGAACCAACGGAGGGAGTGTTTGAGTTGCCTCCGATTTGAGGACTCTCGCGAGGGGCCAGTACGCAACGTGAGAGGGCGTGAGCTCGGCGAGATGTCGATCCCATCTGTCGCTTCTGAGTATTCGAATGCTATCTCTGACGCGTCTCTGAAGAACGCGGAGATTGCGTCGGTTTACCTCTGTGGGGTATCTATCGTACGCGCGGGTCGCGCGGTTCTTGGCCGTTATCAACCTACGCACCTCTGGGGGCAACGCAAATCGTCGGTCAGGACCGACGACGCGCTGCCTAGAGGAGTATTCAATCTTAGATTGAATATGGTTAGTAACGGCCGAGATCGCGCCTAACGCTTCGTTCGCGGTCGTCAGTCTGTCGGGTATGTTATCTAATTGAGGGGAGCTGATGGGCTTGAGAGCCGCTTGCAGCTTCCCCCAGTCGACAATGGTTTTCGTTATCGGATCGGAATCGACCGGAGGACCCAGCTTGAAGAGCACGGGTCGGTGATCCGAGTCGAGTTCGTGTATCGTTTCTACGAGCCGTAGCTGTAGTGTTACGTCTCGTAGCACCGCTACGTCGAGGACATCCGGAGCGATGGGCGGCGGGCTAAAATGTGTGGGAGCGGTGGGCGCGACTACTGTAAAGCCTAACGTGTTTGTCAGTCTGTCTAATATGATACCGTTGCGGTTATTCCGAGAGCTATTCCAGTCCCAGTGTTTGCTGTTGAGGTCCCCGGCCAGAATGACCGAGTTCCCTAAGGCAAACAGGGCTCTGAGATCGCTCTCGAGCACGGTTTTATTTGGCGAGAGGTAAACCGAAGCAATGATTAGTGACTGGTGACCTGTCATCGCGATACGACAGACGGAGACCTCCATGTTCGTGAGCGGAGGAGGGTCGATAGGCATGCAGTGCAGTGACCTTTTATAGTAAATTAACGTACCGCCAAAGCGTTGGCTTGTGCGGTCGTTTCTAATTAGATTGAAATTAGCAATCTTTGGATCTCGCATGGACGGTTTAAGGAAAGATTCCTGCACCGCAAGTATATCGACCTGGTGCCTAACAACGAAGTCTCTAACCAGGTCAGTCTGTTTGTTAAGTCCGTTAGCGTTAAAGCTAACTAATGTTAACGAACGCGGTTTAATTCTACACGTACTAGCCATAACGAATTGAATTAAAAGTTACGTGACGTACTGCTCGGAGGGCAGTGGTAATTTTTGAGGGCCGACACGAAGGAGTCGAACCTTACGACTAGGCCCATTAGGGCGTCGAAGTTCCCCTCGGCCTCGCGAATGGCCGCGGCGAACGCGTTTATCGCGTTGAGGTCTAGATTTCGCGCGAAATCTCTGCAGAGCGCCGCGTTCTCCGATAACTCGGAGGTGGACGTGTTTGGCGCAGAGGGCGCCACGGAACGAATGTTAGCTTGTGGCGCTGAAGGCGCTTTAACGCGTGGCGCTGGATTCGCTACCGGTAGCGAAGGCGCTGAACGCGCGGCCGTTGATTTTTTAGACCATACATTGGTCGAAGGAAGCGGGGCAGGGACGAATAAGTCCCGGGGTTGTTGCGTAGCGCGAGGCGCCGCGGCGACGGTCGACGGCCCCTTGTTCCCGGGACGCCTCCGGCCCGCGCCTCTCGGGGCCTTGGGACACCCGCGATAATTCGCCGTGTGTCCCTCGGTCCCGCAGTTAACACAGGCAGGAGGAGTCTCGCAAGGAAGCTTGCGGGCGCATTCGGCCGTGCCGTGGTCCCCGAGGCACTTTACGCACCTCGGTTTTCGCTGACAATACCGGGAGGAGTGGCCATAATGTTGGCAGCGGTGACATTGCCGAACCACATCATGGGACTTTGGGGTCTCGACAGTGAGTCCGGAGAGGGAACAGCACTGTTTAACACGTTCTCTGCCGATGCGGTCAGTGCTGACCGACAGCGAAATTTCCGTTTAGGCCGAGTAAAAAATGTGGTTCTCTTCAAAATGGGCCGAGATATTTTTTTGCTCATATGATTTTATTTTGTATCCAAATGTATTGTATTTTCGTCGAAAGTCAATTTAAGCTTTTATTTATTGAAATAATTAATGTCGAACAGCATTGATCGCCGCGGTCCATAGAGCGAAAAAACCGTCATTCCGTTACATGGGGCCGCGCGGGTCGTGGTGTCGGGTCAGCTCGCCTTTTTCCAAAAAAATTGCTGATGATGTCATATTGAATGTCGCTATGGTAAATCCTTTAGATATGTTTAAAAGCGTCATAAATAAATCCATATGCATTGTAGACTTTAGAAAAGAAATACTAAAAAGTTTTTGGCAAAGCCTGCATTAGCCAGAGTGCCTAGAGGACAGACGACATGAAGAAAGCACGTGCGTCAGAAAAAAGATGGACCTTCGTTGAAAGTGCGTCGTTCCTGTGTAGAATGTTACTAGAAAAATGTGTCCATATTTTGAGGTTCAATTGCAAGGAAACAAGACTAAAAAATGGATCAGTCAGATCAATCAATACTTTTTTAACACTTGCCATGATAAACTTTTTTTTTTTGGTTGAGTTATTTTGCCTAATTTCATACATAATTAATTGATAAGTTCATACAAATTAATATATGTATTTTTTTTATTTCTACTTGCTAAAATGGTAGGTTTTAATAGAAACTATTGTTTGTATATCGAAACTTGTAATTTTGCAAAAACCAACTTCATATAGAGTAACTACAGGGCCACGCGGGTCAATGAATATAGGATTTAGTTTGATAACATTTACCAACGGTCTGTAAGAACGAAACGAAAATCCTTGTTAAACGCGGTCATCATTGACCGACGCGGCTCAAATGGAAATTCTTGATGTCAACCATCACTGACCGACACGGCCTGAACGGGAAAGTGCATTTTTTCTATCGGCAGAGAACGTGTTCAGGTTGAAAATCTCCCGTGAGGCGGGAGAGGAGTCTAAAATGACTAAGACCAACGGGTACATGGCCTTTGTATGCCTGTTGTAGAGGCGGTGGACTTCCTCTACGGGGAGGCCCTGTCCGATTAAGTCGGATTTAACTACCTCGTTAGGTATTTCGATTGGGATACCGCGAACGACGGCTCTCAGGCGGCGTTCGTCTTCGGTGGCGTACGTGTGGTACGCTCGCTGATTTGGCGCTCCACTAGGAGGCGAACGAGGGCCCTATGGTCGGCCGGGGAGGAAGTTTTAACGCAATTTGTATCTTAAAGTTAAAAGCCTATATGATTCTAAGGAAGAAAGTTTATAGCGAGGTTTGGCTATAGTCAGCGCCATCTAGAATTTGAATTGGTACTAATACATGGATAGGGTTTTGAAATTTCTTAATCGAATAGAAAAACCCGGGTTTTAAGTATAATTAAAAAATTTAACATTTTCTCTTTTTAAATAAAACGCTTTAACGGTTTAAAATGCGATATATTAGTTAAACTTATTTGGGAATGATTTTAACTTCGGCCCGACGTTTCGGATGCTTTGCAGCAGCCGTGGTCACGGTTTAAGTTAAGTCTAACTAATATATCGCGTTTTAAACCGTTAAAGTGTTTTATTTAAATGTGTACTATTCGCGTAAACTATAGACAGTATTTAATTTTCTCTGTTTTTTATGTTTTCCCAAACACAATATTTTACTATTATCGAAAACTACGAAATTAAAAAAAAAACAGTTTTCAAATTATTCTACAGATCACGTAATCATTTTTTTAAAATTGTTTTAAAGGTTTATTACAAACTTTTACATTCATTTATCGTGGGTAAAATTTATTAGTGATAATTAAGTGGAGCCGGGACGTCGTAGATTTGGTTGGAAGCCATTCTTATCTGCTCTGTAGAAAACGTGGATAATCTGTGAAACATATTAAAAGTTTTGATTGACACATACATAATCTTTACCTAATTTAAAAACAAAATGTGACCAGAATTATAAAATACATAGTAATTATATTTAAATAAAATTAGTTAAACTTATTTGGAAATGATTTTTAACTTCGGCCCGACGTTTCGGATGCTTTGTATCAGCCGTGGTCACGGGGGGGTTGTAAAATATCGCGCTGATTAGAGCGAAGAAAAGACGAGTGACTTTAAGTAGTGAACTTAACCTGTCCGTTCGGCGCGGTGTATTGATATTGTCCTTCCACCACGAGACTTGGTGCGCCGGAGTCGCTGGGCTGTAGGGAGCCTCGCTGCTCGTGGTATATACCCCCTTCTGAAGTTGACACACAATTTAGGAAGCATTAGTATAATATTGACTGAGTTCGACCGCGGGTAAAAAATACATTGTATCGTCTGTGGCTTACGCGAGTTGTACAGATTTAAGTAAAACACTTTAACGGTGTAAAACGCAATATATATTAGTCAAACTTTTTTGAAAATTATTATAACTACGGCCCGACGTTTCGGACGCTTTGCAGCTACATAAACCGTTAGTGTTTTATTAAAAAAATTGTTTCGGTCGAGCAGTGCACAGTGAAACGTGCACAGAAATATGTTCGCTGCAAGCTCTACAGGTCGACTACTACTTTATAATTTAATTAACATGTGACATAATTTGCTGAATTAATATGAGGCCGCTAGAGGCAGAGTAGCCAAACTGCATGTTTATGACTTGAGTTTTTTATATTTTCATCGTCTAAAAATCATGTTCTTTGTTATTAGGTCACTTTGCCACTCATGTCATTTAGTTGAGAATTGAACCGCGTTCTACCGAAACAAATGTACGTAAGGTTAGCCAAGAGGTCAACCCTAATTTAAGGCCGGTACCTGTCTGCAGGGCCCATTTGTAAGCACCGTCTGCATCTGGGACTTCAAAGTCATTTCTGATGATATCGTCTCCGTGGCTCTGGTGTAGGGCTGAGGAGACCTAGAAGCAATCGTTTAAAATAATAGTAAACAAAAATTCCAACAAGAGAAGAATACTTTACACACTGTCTATAGTTTACGCGAGTAGTACACGTTTAAATAAAACACTTTAACGGTTTAAAACGCGATATATTAGTTAAACGTCTTCCAGTCTCCCCGTGACCGCAAAGCATCCGAAACGTCGGGCCGAAGTTAAAAATCATTTCCAAATAAGTTTAACTAATATATCGCGTTTTAAACCGTTAAAGTGTCTTATTTCGAAGAATACTTTGTTATTTTTTATCATGTTCAGCACACGATGGCACTATATGAATAAAAAATCGATTATTATTTGAAAAAAAAAACGGGCAGGTCTTGAACCAACATTCACAGCGTTCCGTGCTGTTGAACTAACTATTTGAGCTAGCGATAATGAGTCTTCTTTATATCATTAAAAAAATGTCCGTGATTTGTCTACCTTTTAAGATTAACTCGCAAGAGTGGGATGAGATATTAATAGTTTGGAAGACCGAATAATGTTTTCTTAAACCTTTACCTTCAAGTGACTAACCAAATTTGGCTTTGGGCGTCACTCATACGCCGATGAAAGGAGACTTTTTAACATGTTATTGAACATGATGGCACTATATACATATATTAAGAATCGAACTTCTGGTTCGGTAGCTCGATTGGTTTGGTGGATGCCGGTTCAGGTCATTTTTTTTCAATTTATTTTAGATTTTTAATCTAGCATAAAATATAATAAAATAGAAAACACTAGCGCTTAATTGCGCAATTCCCATCGCGATAGAAAACATAAAATTTAAAATAGATAATTCGTGGACAGTAATTAATAGATTTACATAAAGATTACGCATTGGAAATCAATAAAGTAATGATTTTATTATGTAAAATTCTTATTGTTTGCTAGATATAAAATTAATTTGTATTCCGTCGTGTTAAGCCCCGTACACACTGTACGATATTTTAATCAGAGATTTTGATTTATTATTTATTAATGTTGAACAAAATTCGTCATCAGTATTATTAAATACTAGATACGACACCGACTTCGTCCGCGTAGAATAGTTACTTAAAGCATTGAAATTTGTTTTTGCAAACCTCATCCACATTGTTATAAATCATAGCCTTTACACACGGCGTTGGTTGCAAGTTACACTTAGTAAAACAACTTTTTAATTATTTAAAAAGGAATCGTTCTTCCATACATTATTTTTTCCTTAAATTCGGACCATTAGTTCCTGAGATAAGCAAATCCAATAAAAAAATTTCTCAAGCTTTATAACACTAAGGTGGATTAGTTCAAAGTGGCCTGAGGTTGCTCACCCACACAAACACATTTATAATGACACCCATAAATAACTAGATCTGACTATTTTTTTTTAATTTACGAAAGAGTACATGAAACTTATTAAGCAACTACCAACTCGCGAATTGATGTGAGTCAAATTTTGAAATATTTGTAACAATTGTTAAAACTGTTTTAAACCTAATAAGCATGCTAGTATAATCTTTTCTTATAAAAAAATATCGTTCCTTTAATACTCTTTCGTTTTATAATATTAAATTGGTTATGAGAATGATACATGACGAATCATTTACTTAGCTAAACGAAGAAATTATTATGTAGTTTTGTAATATTACGTAATAATTATGTAAGCCTCACAAAGAACGTAACTTAAGGTACCCACCATTTGTATCGTTTTTGCAGTATTATTAAGTGTAAATGTCAAAAAGAAATACATTCATTAACAATCACAACCCAGACATACACGTATAAACCTTATTATATTATAAAACATTTAAGTAAAACCTTTTTTATCGGATTAAAAAGCGAAATATATTAGTTAGCTTGTGATTATTTATTAATTCAATTTACTAATATAATTTGAGTATTGGTTTAAGTATTTAACCTTATTTAAACTAATAATATCATTTTCTTCTAACTTACAGAAAATTTACCGTTGTAATGAATTTTGCTATATAAAATACTGACTATAGTTTACGCGAGTAGTACACATTTAAATAAAACACTTTAACGGTTTTAAACCATTAAAGTGTTTTATTTAAATTTGCTATATAATATAAAATGAAAAGGAACTGAAGCTGTACCCACAGTCAAATATTAAGAAAACCGATATTCATACAACAATTACCAACACACCTTGTGCACTTAGCCTAACAACAGTGCCAATGAAGTTAGGAAATATTTGTGTGAATTGTGCGAGGTCACAGGTTAACGTGGTCGCCACTAACGTTTCTTTTTATGTCTCCAGTACAGGTGGTCGTATTGTACTATACGTTTTTAAATTGATTATTGTATGTATTTAAATAAAACTATTTAACGGTTTAAAATGCGATATATATTAACTACGGCCGTAAAATATTAATGTTTGCGAATCTATACCTAAGGCTAAAGAATTTGTTCGTTTGAATGCGCTAATGTCAGTAACTACTAGTTCGAATTATCTGTGTTGATTTTGTTATAGTTAACATTTGTTAGGTAAGACTTAAGGCTATGAAACATCACGCCATTGGAAAAACGAACGAGAAAATTATTCAGCTTTGTGGGTATCGGTTCAAGATACCAAATAAACATCTATTAAATAATGATTCCTCTTTAAACGATCTAAAAAAGTGTTCGTCATGTCTGTCTATAAAGATTAACTTACAAGACCGACGTCGTGAAGATTATAAGTTTTGTTGAAACTAATTTTGATGCCATTATTTTACTATATTATTAAAAAAGTAAGAAAGACGGTGTTACAGCTCAAAAAACGTGAGAACACCGTAAAAAAAATGGAAAGGCTTAGCGCTGTCTGTATTGCAAACACTCAGCTTAAATTACAGAAATATCAACATGTGTACGCAATTGCGACCTCTGAAGTGAAGAGGTCCTCGAAGAGTGACTTAAATTAATTTTCCGACACATTAAGTGATTTGAGTTGTCGCGTCTAAGTATAAAAATCGCTGTGGGTCAAGACCTCACTTGGGGTCACGGAGAGGTAGATTGGAAGGCATTATTCATTTATTGAGAAGATAAGCCACGATGCAAGATAGAAGTTCAAATGATCCTTTCTCATTTTCATAGAGAAATAAAGAAATATGAATGAAAATACTGTCTATAGTTTACGCGAGTAGTGCACATTTAAATAAAACACTTGAACGGTTTAAAACGTAACTTAAAACATTCCCCGTGACCACGGCTGCTGCAAAGCATCCGAAACGTCGGGCTGAAGTTAAAAATCATTTTCAAATAAATGTAACTAATATATCGCGTTCTAAACCGTTAAAGTGTTTAATTTAAATGTGTAATACTTGCGTAAATTATAGACAGTATTTTAAACATGAGTTAAACTGTAGAAACGCGATAAATGTTAGTAAGCGGTCTCCCCGTGACCACGGCCGCAAAGCATCTAAAAGTCGGGCCGCAGTTAAAATATTTTTAAAATAAATGCAACTAATATATATCGCGTTTTAAACCGTTAAAGTGTTTTATTTGAAAGAAGAGACAAAGGAAACGAAGAGAAAACATTTCGTATTTTATTATCACGTTTTAAATAATTACTGAATGGAACAATCAAGTCAAGATTAAAACAATAAATTCGTTAACTGTAGGCCACCATAGAGTTTGTGAAATCCCGTATTGCCCTATGGAGCACGAGGCGACACAAACAGATCACGAAAAGGACATAGAAATGTGTTTGTTGCTTATAAGGCAAGATAATGAGACTGCGCAATGTCAGACGCTACGATTTATTGGTTTTCTCGAACTTAATGCAATAATTATACGCTTGTTTTTTGAACGTGCTAATCTCAGGAACAATTGGTCCAATTGAAAAATAATTTGTGTCTCTTAAATAAAACACTTTAACAGTTTAAAACGCGATATATTAGTTAAACTTATTTGAAAATTATTTTTAACTTCGGCCCGACGTTTCGGATGCTTTGCAGCAGCCGTGGTACCGGGGAGACAACGTCGGGCCGAAGTTACAAATAATTTTCAAATAAGTTTAACTAGTATATCGCGTTTTAACAGTATTTGTGTCTTGGTTAAATGTTTATCGTGGTGGCTTTAGACTATAAAACATCAGACTGCGACCGGGAGGCGTGAAGAAACAGAGGGAAATATGGAGAAAACGCAGCAAAATTATTTATCTTTGAGCGCTTCCTTCTTGCGTACGCTGCGAAAACTGTTCAAGATGCCCAACAAATATGTATGAAAGAATGATTCTTCATTAAATGGTCTAAAAACTCTTCTATCAGGTTTAGAAAATATTTTAAGAATAACTCACAAGGACCGCTTTTATGGGTATCAAAATTGGTCGAAATATTTTATAAGACTAAAGAAAAGCTAGGTCTGGTAAAAGTAGTTGCTATATATGGGCATATAATTTTTAAACTATACAGTTATTAAGTTTAATATCCGAAAGTTACGTTATGTAGTTTGTAAACAAAGTTACTAGTTAACAATCATTCCCGTACCACCATAAAAACGATTCTTGTGGGTTAATAGCCAAAATAGTTATAGCGCGAAAAGCAACATATACCTTCCCTATATTTCTTAGCTCATATTCCGACGTAGCCTGATGTATCATAGCCTAAAGCCTACTTCGATAAATGGCCAACCAACACAAAAAAAAATCAGTTCGAACTAGCACTTCCAGAGATAAGCGCTTTCAAACATACAAACGAACTCCTCAGTTCTATAATATTTAGATAATAAAATACCGGCATTTACTAATATATTTCGCGTGAACCACGAACGTTTAATAAACAAATACTCACAATTAGTAGAACAAATAAGACCTTCATGGTGAATGATCAGTGAATCCTCTTCGCACTAAACCTTCTTGATCAAGTTCCAAATATAATCTGTAGCCTGCGACCGCTAATTTTCCCGCGCTTTATTGACATATGACATATTTAACGGCCACCGAAAAAAGACGCGCAATATAGACGTTGAACGGACTGTTTCTATTAAGACTTAGATGGTATCTAAAGACCTTTCCACTTTGCTCGTGCGTTTTGAAATTCGTTACAGTGAATGTCCAAGTGGGTACAGAGCGATTACTAAACTATCGATGTTTTAACAATTATTATATAACATGAAAGAGTGCGATCATCTAATGCAAGTTTATTTACAATTATGATTAGACTCGCTGTATGCGAAGGCTGACATTTTTTTCCTAATTACATTATTGACGTAATAGAACTCGAGAACAATATTGACTTGACTCGAATGAATGAGTTTACCATACTAATATGAAGCTGAAGAGTTTGTTTGAACGCGCTAATCTCAGGAAGTACTACATCGAATTGAAAATTAATTTTGTGTTAGGAGATTTATCGAGGAAGCCTATAAAAAACATATCGCGTATTAGTCACAGCGAAGATAGAGCGAGAAATGTCGAAACAACAAGATTTCCGAAAAATATTTATGAAAGATGTTTGCTATTTATATGGTCTAGAAGAATCTCGGCGTTACTATATGTCTATCTTTTAAGATTAACTCGCAAGAACGACGGGACGCGATCAACACCTATGATTTATAAAAATAAGGTTAGCACAACAAGATTTTGGCGCTCAAAATTCTACGCAGACGAAGTCGCTGACAGAGCTAGTTATAATATATAATTCAACGCACTGGGATGTCAAGAATGCGCACTACGCAATATCATGCAGCGCTAAGTCGCATACTTGGGTTACGTCCGTCGCCATGACCGCTACTGCCTCCTCCACTTAATTATGGTGGGGAAAATCCAGGGTAGAAGACGTATTGAAGGTATGTCATGACTGCGAATCAGGCACGAGAAGATTAGAAAATATATGCTCGAGGCAGAGTAGCCCAATATCAAAAAACATGATACAGTAAGGAGGAAAATAAAGTGCACAATTAACTTAGACGAAAATGAATTTGTATTATCATTTGTTTCTAACAACCTAAGAGTCAATAAATACAATAGTTACATAATGTTAGACATTTACAACGTACTCTCTAAGGATGTCTGTCGTTTATCTTTGGTAATTGTTTAACGTCCAAACCCTTAATGACATTGTTTGTTTATACAAAGTAATCACCACATAAAGGACCTCTTCCGCAATTGTAAGAGAGAGTCATTATCAGAGAGTCAAGATCGACAGTTTAATGAGAGCAGTTGGATGATATTCAGTCGGTTGTAGTCAGTTAAGTTTAATATTGAATCGCGTGTGTTGTGTGCCTTGAAATCAAACCTGTAATATATAGAAGGGCATTTCATTCAAGTCTCCCGTTACGAATATTACATTTCGATGTCAGAAGTGAGATTGAAAAGAGGCCATCATAAATATCACCTCTTAGTCCTGACAAAAGTAAGAATATCGGAGACCAAGGATGAGTTAAGTGCTGTTTAGACCAGTCTTCGAGACGGCGCTTTTCCAGCAAAGAAATAGCAGCCCTCATCGCAGTTCAGCAGAGCGAGACCGGTCCAGTTATCAGTACGGTTACCACCATGTCTACGCATCCAGCAACAGCTGTAGAGGTACAGCGGTCCTCCAATAGTCAACACACGAAGTCGAGGCAGCAACTGAGACGGCTGACTGTTCCTGAGTTATTGCAACCGCCGAGAATTCACACGAATCAACTAACTACAATTAATATCGTCAAAATGTAAGTTAAAATACTAAAAATAGTTTAATTGTTTAACTTAGAAATAATGTGCTCATATCAATGGCAATTAGAATTAAGTTCATGTAGAAAAAATCATAATATATTTATTTCTTACCTCATTTGACTAACAATATCTAATAAAATCAATCTCTTAACAAATACTGTCTGTAGTTTACGTGAGATAAGGCGACAACACATTTGAATAAAACACTTTAACGGTTTAAAACGTGATATATTTTAGTTATGTACGGTCATGGGGTGACGGGGTCGTCACGGCTGCTGCAAAGCATCCGAAACCTCGCGCCGTAGTTAAAAATCAATTTCAAACAAGTTTAAGTAAAATATATCGCATTTTAAACCGTTAAGGTGTTTTATTTGAAACCTAACATTACATGGGTATACAAAAGATTACAACTCATAAAATCACAAAATATTATAAAGCATGCAAAATATACTTAATTTCTAGATCAAATTTTTCGTGTATTTTAATTATTATAAAATCTATATTAGTTATGTTTTTTCCTTTTCAACAGTCGAATGTCACAATATCGATCGTGGGTAAAATAGAATTATAATTACTTGACATATTCGTTGATTGTGTTTGCGATACAATATTGGTAGTATACAACTTACTATTTTCTGATAATTTAAAAATTGTGCCTATTACGTAATTTAATGTCTACAGGTTCTTTGTTTTTACAATTAATAGTTGCTATTACTTTGCTAGGGCAGACAAATCCAGTTCTGTCCATTATACAGTTTGTACCTACCATTGTTCAGTGTTGATATAACCCGAGTGACACATTCTGCTGGCAATATAGATTTACCATAGGTACATTAGTTCAGACTCGCAGGTCTTGCTAGTAGGCGCAGATTATAAGGCTGATGGCAATTTATAAATAAAACTTAAACTTGAAAAATTAATTTTGTTTCGGGATATTAAGAAATATTTAAAGTTAGGTAGTAAATAAAATAATATAAAAAAGGTTTTTGTTGCCTAACATATTTTACGTTTCGTTAACAATTTATTCATATTTGTCAAATGTTGTTTATGCCAGGTCCGCATTTCGAGGTAGAAGCCTCTTTCATACGCTTCCACTCCGTTCTGTTTGTAGCGCTTCGTTCCCAGAACACGCCAGTAGTCCCCTTTAAATTCGTCATGCCATCTCCTGAACGGTCCACCACGTTTTTTCGCCCAATGGAGTCCAGCTAGTGAAAACCTGGGGCCAACGGTTGTTCTTTACTTTACATGCTCTTTTCGGCTTTCTGGAAGTCATCGTGATTTCATTGGCCTTTTTTGCCTTTCTTATTGTGCTGTGTTTTACTCGCTCTCTCAGTTTGACTTCCATGAAGCTGCGTTCAATTCCCGTTGACAAGTCCTGAGTTTGAGTAGGTTTCTTTTTGTTGTGGTCCAAGTTTGGCAAGCATAGGACATTGCTTTTGCTTTAATTGGAGGTGGTAATTTGTTTATAAATTTTTCCTTTAATGTCCAGTATTTATTTCAGGTCAATTTTACTTAAAAGATTGGTTTAGGTTAGTACAAATAAAAAAGTACTATGTTTATTTCTAATATGAACAGAACAGGCATTATATAAATCGTATGTATTTTGAGTTATCAAAGGTGTTTTATTACACAAAATAATCCAATTTGGACAAAGATAGTAACTCTGGAATATTGGATTCATTAATTCCTAGTGGGTAATTTGTTTGTTGTGGTAAATATGAAACAGTGTTCCTTAATTCGATACCATGTTGTTCAGGCGTGATGATAATAGGATGTAATATATTATTCTTTACAAAGAGAATTGCATTACTGTCTGTTGAAGTTTCTACAGACATCATTTACCTCTGTTGTGACTAAGATAAAAGTGACATATCGTTGATTTCTAAATTGAGGTTATGATATTTTTTTTCGTTTTGGTGCAAATCCGTTAGAGTGTTATTGAAATTCGTTATCGTTAATTTAACAACATTCTCCCCGTGACCACGGCGGCAGCTAAGCATCCGAAACGTCGGGCCGTAGTTAAAAATTATTCTCATTGAAGTTAAACTAAAATAATATCGCGTTTTAAACCGTTAAAGTATTTTATTTGATAATTACTAATTCAAATTCCCTTTTATTTATGTTTTCTATTGCTTCACTCTATGTTTGGGCATAATTTGCATCGAGAATTTCCAAAAGAACTTTAAAAATACTCCCTACTTCGTCGAAATATATTCTTTTTGTTCTATGATCATTGTAAAAGCCAATCAATCAATAATTAGACAGATTTGACAAAGTGAAAACTTGTAAAAAGTCTAGTGATAACAAATATCTTTTGTTTGGCAATCAATATTATGTATCAGCTCTATTTTATTGTATACTAGCGGCTCTGTAGTAGTATACGGGTAGACATAAATAAGTATAAATATTTAAATTATAAGCATGCTAATTAAAACGACCATGAATCACTAAATTAGATTTCTTAAATTAGAATTTCGCGTCCTAGCTATGAACGACCGTTGTCTATCTCGCTGTGTCAGGAGCCGCTGTGAGCGTTCAGTGTTAGTGTCCCGAGCACGCGTTCGCGAATTCCTTCGCTACGCCGATCTTGCATTATGTTCTGCAAGACGAACCTGAATTTTTAACGATAGATTCTCAGGCCCGCGAATGGGACGTGTACACTCTAATACTTTCCAGACGATCATTTTAGGAAGAAGACTCTCCCATACGACGAACTTTTGCTAATCTCGCTTAGAAACTATTCTTAGATAACTGCGACCTTCTTCTTCTAGGCATATTGCTACGAAGGATATTTGTTTTAAATCAGAGAAATTAAGAATAAACGAATAATAATACAAAAGAAAATATTCAAGTTCAAAGCGATAGTTCCGAAAAGAACTTTGACAAACATTACGGAAAGTGTGATTGCTAATACTAAAACTAAGTAACTTTGAAAAGAAATTTTTAAGTGAAGCATAAAAATGTTTAAAAAAAACTCGAAAATTTTATGTCGTTCGCGCCCACTGCGTAAGGAGCCCACTGCCTCTCCTCTATCGACTCGACTCGATGCGCGTCCGCCGCCGGCATATATTTTTATTTAACCCAACTAAGACCCAAAGTATCATCATTGGTAGTAGTAAGCTTATTGGCCGGGTTGACAGGCAAAGTATTTCACCGGTGGTTGTAGACGGTACTATCATTCCTTTCACTTCTTCTGTCAAAAGTTTGGGTCTAATTATTGACGAAAATCTGTCCTGGCATCATCATTTAAACCAGTTAAGCAAGAAAATGTATGCCGCTTCACACTCCCTAAAACGCTTGCAAAACTTCCTTTCTATCCCTACAAAAATTTTACTTGCTCAGTCTCTATTACTCCCCATCCTGGACTATGCTGATGTATCATTCACTGATCTAACTGAACTCCAGCTTGATAAGCTTGAGCGGCTTCAGAATACGTGTATCCGTTTCATTTTTGGCCTTCGCAAATACGATCATGTTTCTGAATTTCGTAGAAAGCTTAACTGGCTCCCAATCCGAACTCGTCGTAATTCTCATCTACTCCATCTCCTTTACCGTGTCCTTTTTGATCCCAAAACTCCCTCTTATTTAAAAGAGATATTCGTCCTTTTAAGTTCCCACCAGTTAAATCTTCGTTCGATTGATAATCTCCTTCTATTTGTTCCTAAACATAAAAGCTCTTTCTTCAATAATTCCGTCACAGTTAAAGCTATCCGTCTTTGGAACTCTCTTCCCACTAATATCAGAAAAGCTCAATCACTCCGTTCTTTTAAGAGTCTGTTGTATAAGTTTTACGTTTCCAATATTTAAGTTAGTTAGTTAGTTAGTAGTAATAGTAGTTAGTCTCTCCTACTCGTTGTATGTACTATCACTGTGTACCTTGATATTCTTTGTTATTCCTTACACCTACCCACGAAATTTGTTTTTTTTTTTCCTGTACTTCAGGTTGCCTGGAAGAGATCGCTGCTTAGCGATAAGGCCGCCTTTTATTTATAAGTTAGCACATAAGATTTTTCCTCATTTATGTGTATTTTCTGTGGTGTGTTTTATAAATAATAAAGCAATAATAAATAAATAAAAAATATTTTTAATTTCGTGATATCTTTTGCATGAAATGTCCGATTTCAATAATTCAAAAAGTAATCATTGGGTATTGAGACAATCTTGAATATTAAATTATTTAATTGGATAAAAATTTATAAATGGATAACACGGTCTGATTTTGATCGGCATTTCTATCAATTTGTTAAATGTATAAAAGTAGTTATAGCGACGTAACTACAATAGTTTAGACGTATGCTCTTACGATGTTTTTTGTAGATATTGATATATTCTATAATATTGTCGAACATTTTTTTGTCCTATCATTAATACTTTTCGCAGCGTATGCGAAGAAAGACATTTTACGGGTAATTTTTTTACGCCTTCCGTTGGTTTTCGTAAGAATTTCTATAGCCTGCCTATAGTAATCAAGTACTAAGTATAGTCTATGTCACTCAGTGATGATGTAGTTTTCTAATGAAAAAAGAATTATAGAAATCGGTCCAGTACTTTTGAGTTTATCCGTTACATACAAAAATACAAATCTTTCCTCTTTATAATATTAGATAGATGTCATCAATATTTAAAAACGTTATTAAATTCACTATCAAAATGATTACCTTTCCTAAATGTTCAAAATATATTCCACCTTTGTTTATTGTGCTTATGTTATAAATATTATCTTCACCTAATGCGTACATTAATGAAGTTAAATTAATAAAAAAGCTGACGCGTCTACTGACTAGTCTGTTTGTATGTGCATTAATATTTTTTCTATCTTTTATAACTATATTTCATCGATATTGCCTTAATAACTATATATGGTCCTAAGCCATAAGATGACAACTTACGTGACTTTCCAATTTTAATTGCTTGGTTGTTTTCTCATGTTGTAATGGGTGTTTTGTTTAGCTATCTGTAAGAGACAAGTACAGTATTTGTGTAAGTTTTTCAAATTAAGAAGCTTAGTTTATTTCAATTGAGGCTTTGAAATAAAACACTTTAACGGTTTAAAACGCGATATATTAGTTAAACTTATTTGAAAATGATTTTTAACTTCGGCCCGACGTTTCGGATGCTTTGCAGCAGCCGTGGTCACGGGGAGACTGGGAGACGTTTAACTAATATATCGCGTTTTAAACCGTTAAAGTGTTTTATTTAAATGTGTACTACTCGCTTAAACTATAGACAGTATTTAAATTGAGGCTCCTTAGTTATGGAACTAGGCAATTTTGCTTTAAAACCAAATATTAATTCAAATGGTGTATATTGAGTAGATGTGTGATCACTAGTGTTGTATTAAAACATAGTAAAGTCTAACCATTTATCCCGATTAGTTTGATCTTCACTCACATAGTGTTTAAGGCAATCTGCTAAGGTTGAGTGGCTCTCTAAAGCTCCATTTGATTGGAGATTGTGAGCATTTGTATTTTTTTAACAATATATATATACAAAATTTCGAGTCGATCTTGGTGAGCGGTCGGTGATTGTTGAAGATGTGAATACAATGGTATCTCGGTTTATGGGTCTCCGTTTAAGGCATTTTTCGAATATGCTATATACATTGCTGTTAAAAGCTTATTAGAAATATTGAGGACAAAAATGGAAAACCAAGAAAATTGGTTTTAATGTTTAAATAAAACATTTTAACGGTTTAAAACGCGATATATTAGTTAAACTTATTTGGAAATGATTTTTGATCATTAGGAACCAGTTGGACCCGTTGGGGATTCTATCCACGACCCGTTGATTTTTAGCCATAC